CTGCATTTTACACCAAACATATAATATACCGTTCGAAACATCTATTTGCCGCCGAACGCCACCTCACTTAAGTCGACCCAAGTCATACCGTCACTGGCGGCTGGTAGGAAAATTATTTTGGTAGGGCTGTTGATATAGTGAGAAAAAATTTTTTTTGGGAAAAATGACCCCTTAAATTGGGACTGATACCGTCATATACCGTATACCACGGTATGATGTCAGCAAGGTATGACGGTATGAAAAATATGATACCGCCCATGCCTTATTATTCAAATATAGTATGATAGGTCCACACAATTTCACATCAAAAGAAACAACAATGTTTTAACAAATCGTATTAAATAATGTGATGACAGAATTGTAAACAGAATAGCTGAAACTTTAACAAAATAAATAACTCGGTTACCTCTAATCATTAACCCATGTTTGTATAATTGAGTTAACTCTGTGTGTTGCTGCAAGTATACATAATAACTGACGTGGAAACGTTACTCGCGGATGGGGCTACAGCGCTACTAGAAAGACAGTCGAAAACGGTGCATTTCTCCGTCTGGATGTGGTGCACTTTTGCTAAATGTTTAGACAAATTGCTTGTGCTACCGCCCTTACATGCTAAACTCTTATTGCACTCTTGGCAACAAGCATTGTCCAGATCAAGTCGGGTAAAGTTCAACCACACCTTGGAGCGCTTAGTTCTCTCTGCCATCTCCCCCGTGTGTGTGAACTGCCCCGCCCCTTTATTTTTTAAATGTCTCCATTACCGATAAAAAATACCGGAGCTTAACGGCGCGTAATGACGTCACCAACGAATCGACGACTGAATTAGTTTGCAACTAATTTGGTCATCGATTTTAATCGATTAAGCCGATTAGTTGTTGCACCCCTAATTCAGCCTTGAAATGCAGATTTTGAGGATTCCATTGCTCTCAATTTTATTGGTAATTGTTTGATATTGATTCTCTTTCCCTACATTATCAGTGTCAGAAAGTGGGTTGATTTTATTTTTTGCAAAAATGTGTTGCGGTGCTTGAGTTGCTGGCTACCAAAGTCTCCTTTTTCATGTTGCACATTTTGAATTCCTAGATATAGAGTCTTTAAAGAAATGCCTTAGTTATTAATAAGTATCACACTACACAAAGTTTAGGGACATCAATGAGTCACATTTATAAAAACGATATATAGTACAAATCGTGACTTCACTCTGATTTGGTACAGTTAGTAAACTTGAATTTCTCATGCACTCTCTATTACCTTCCAGGCGTCATGAAGCAGCATCACAGGGGGAACAGTTCAGCAGCGGATGTGATTCGTCGGCAACGGCTGAAGAAGATGACTATGAGCCACGCCCATCCAGAAAAAGAGGTTGGGCAACGGGAGTAGCACTTCCTGTGAAGAACGTCAAACAGGAAGCAGACTCTGCAGAGGATTGTGACTCTGGCATGTAGGGCTGGCAGTGAAAGACGTTGCATCACAGGCTCAGGGCACCAGAACTGGGGAGGTGCTGCGCTGGTAGCTCTGGGAGGAGGAAAAACACCTTTTGACTGTTTGAGCTCATCCTAATTTTCGGCCATGATGTAACAACATTCATAATTAAGTAAAGGTAACACCCTTTTCACCCCGGTTACACGTTTCATTTGCCCTGTACGATGGGCGCTGTTGGCTTATCAGGCGCCCGCAGCTCACAGCCAAATGGAGAGAGAGAGAGAGAGAGGGCGCACCGGTACCAGCGGGAATTGTGTTGTTAGCATCTGGTGCTGAAAAAAAGGCAGAGCATATACAATGTGAAACAGAAGCCTACAATGCGACAAGTCTGTGGTCCTTAACTAGTTTACACGGTTGTTATCATTTTCTTTTTCCCTATCTTGTTCGTGATGATCTTCATGTGCCTGCACTACATTGTCATCAGATTTCTGTTCCTGTGGGGGTAGACTTTCTGCCCCAGTTCTAATCAGTTTCTTCGTGGATGGACTTGTTTAAAGAAAAGGCAGATCATATACAATGTGTATGGGTTTGTTCTGGTCACTCACACCACTAAGTGGCTCTGACTTTCATGTTCCAGTAAATAGTCTAATTGATAGTGGACTTTTACATATTTAAGGATCAGTGGTTCAAAAAATGTTTTTCTATGCAAAGTAATACATTGTATTGATTGTGCTGTTTTACATTAAAGCGTCAAAAATACTGAATATTATGAAGTAAAACAAGTCTTTAGAAAGGAAAAAAAGCCTTTGTCCATGGGTTTGTATTGCTTAAAAATAGTGGATGACTGAAAATGTATAGCCTATATATAAATATGGGGCTAAAGACACCATCATATACAGTATCGCCACAACTGCCGTATTCTGGTAACATTCTACCCATAGATGAAGGAATGTTTCTTTTCCTTTTTTAATGTGTTTAATCTTAAAACAGAAGTGAGAAATCAAGATGCAAAGCTCAGAGGTGAGGGGAAAATCTGAAAAAACGATAATGTGAGATATATTAAGTAAAATTACCTTTAAGGTATTAGGACTTTCTGGCCCCATTTCTTATATGTGCAAAAATAAAACCTAAATTTCAATATATATTGAATGTAACACTTTTAGATTTCCTTTGCTTCCTGTAATGTGTGGCATGTTAGATATAATTTATGACAGAAACACATATACACTCTGTCTAATATGTTTTCCACAAAAAAGGATAAATACAGAAGTGAGGGGAAAATCTGAAAAGAAAACGATAATGTGAGCTATAAGTAAAATTACCTTTAAGGTATTAGGACTTTCTGGCCCCATTTCTTATATGTGCAAAAATCTAATTGGTTAGGGAAACAAACACAGCCTCTCAAATCACACAAACATTGCCCATCAAGTCCCAACACACTCGGTGGTGTGAGGAAGTAATGGACCCAGAGGTGCAGCTGCATCAGAGGGACCACGGAGCAGGCCAGGAAATACCTATCCTGTTGGCTGGGGACAACAGCTGGAAATTAGCAATGTTGACTAAAGATGCCCCATTTACTGTTTTTTGTGATAGTTGATCAATAGGGACTGTCCACGACACTGTAAACAAATAAACTAAAGAGTGAAAACGCTATTTAAAAATAATTTCACACTCTAAACTCTGTTGCTGCACTGTATCACTTTTAATTTTGATATATAAACACATTTAGTCGTATTTTTTCTCTTTCTGATTCTAGAAAAGAGGTGGCCTTGTGGCTCTAATCAGATGTAACCAGGAAGTTCCCTCATGCCCTCTTCTGACGACGCGGCTGTAGCATCAATAGAGTCAAATGTGTTGTTATAACTTAAACGTCCCTTATTATACTGTTTTTCATCAATACATTATAGATCTCAGATATATACAAAAAATTTCTCTGAAGTGTTGGCTCTAAACAGATCATGCATTGTAGCATCCCATAAACCCCTCTGTTTCAAAAGTGCTGATTCTCTGTCTGTTACTTTAGATGAAAATAAGGAGCCACTCCCCACGCCCCTCTGAGAGATAATTGGTTAAAAAGAACACATTGGTGCTCTAGGAGGAGATTCAGGTGATAAGGTGGGGGGCTCACCTTGGTTCGTTATTGGCTAATGGTTACACAAGCCAAAAAAATCGTTATGACATCATAAAGTGGCCAAAATCTGATCAGCTCATTTTCAGACAGGTTTTTATAGAAATGGATCAGGACAAAAAGCGAGTGAATCTCTTTACACATGTTTATGTATAAAAGACATGAAAAAGTGGATTTTGCATAATAGGTGACCTTTAATATTGCATTAATGTGTCCCTCTCCTCTCCAGTGAAAAACGTGGTGGGTGTGATAGCGTGCTACAAGGCAGCACTGGAGGAGTTTCACCGCAGTGTTTCCATGAAGGTGACCGGCTCGGTTTGTATTGCTTGAAAAATATATTATTTCAGTTGGAGAAGTGGATGACTGAAAATGTAAAACCTATATATAAATATGACTATATTAAGTAAAATTACCTTTAAGGTATTAGGACTTTCTGGCCCCATTTCTTATATGTGCAAAAATAAAACCTGAATTTCAATATATATTGAATGTAACACTTTTATTATCCAAATATCAATACAAACCTTGAATGTAAAACCCTGACAAAATGTGCATTAATGCGGTGAAAGGCAATGACAGTATTTCTGTAGTTTGTTTTTAGCCCCTGCACGACTTCACAGGATGTTTCACAGCTATCTGGAACCTTCTTTCGACTGTTTTGAAAAGCTTTCCTAAAATCAGCAACCAGCCTGTTGGTCTGGAAAATGTAAAAATGACAGATTCACACTCCCCTGAGATTGTTTACACAACAACTGTCCATTTATCAAAGACTTAAAAGAGAGGAACTGGGAGAGAAGTGGGTCTGACATGAGTGTGTGTTGTTTGAAAGCCTTGTGCCACAGGCAGCAGGAGGACGAGGACGAGCGGTAAAAAGGTCAAGACTCCGGTTCCAGGCGTGGAATGACTGGGAGGATGAGGTTCCCAAACGAGGAGTCCTGAGTGATGAAGAAGCCCGATGAGTGTGTGTGTGCATGCTGCAAGAGAAGGCACAAACACGGAATATGGAAATTAAACAAAGTGACATTGTTTTTAAAGGTGCTGGTAGTATTTGTATTTGGAAAGAGCTAAGCTTGCTGTATCCCCATTTATGGTCTCTATGCTAAGCTAACCGCCTGTTTGGCAAAATATTCTTCGAGACTTTATGGCTTCATGATAGCATCCCCATTTATGATGGTGATTGACAAACATACATTGGAATTAGGATGAGTCATTTATGTATTTGTTTTTAGGATGAGTCATTTTTATGTATTGTTTTTTTACATTCATACTAACTTGTTGCACAATTGGTTTCCGTTTGTGTAAAATAACAGGAAGATGAATTGGTTTTTGACTCACCTGCAGGGCAGCTTTTTGCTGGGCAGCGATGTGCTGCTGTTCTGCGTTGTCTCTGAACTCTTTCAGGTTTGGTCTGGACAGCGAGATGCTGCAGGATGAGAGAGCTCAAATTAGAATATTGACACTAAGGATATACTATCTCAATGCTTAATACCTGGAAACTCCATGACAGGAAACATTGCTTACCTCGCTCCAGGAGTGTTCAACAACCTTCTCCTCTCTTTCTCCAGCTCTGCCAGGATCGCCACCCGTGCCTTGTTTGGGAAAGCTAGATGAGAACAAATAAGAGGAATATATATAAAGACCATGGGGATAGAGAGAGGGGCTGAACAATCTATTGACAGGCAACACTGCAGATGAGAGTTTAATGCAAAATGACTGTGACTTGAATGCACTGGCAGTATATAGGATTTCTAGAGACTTGATTTCATGCATTACATCCCAGCTATGGACTACAGAACTTTATCAATGTGTAGCTGTGTTTCCTGAAGGGGCCCCAAAGAGCAAAGGGGGGTGAGCATTCATAGCTACGCCCCTGCAGATATAGCTCAATAAAGACAAAGACCTTAAACACCAATACCGTTTGTTCAATAATAATTACCTTGTCCTGGTGGATTTGTAGCCATGTCGCCGCAGGTAAAAGGAAGACAGTCAAAATGACAAATTATAGAAAGGTTTCTATTAATGGTATTCGTTTTATTTGTGTGTGTTTCCTTCCTCCCAGCTAATGTTGCACTGGTGGATAACGGACAACGATAAAAGTCCCCTTGGGTGAAACGTATAACTTAGACTGGAGCTGGATAAACTATACAGAAGTTACAGTTGTAACAATAATTGTTGTAACAGTATCTGAAGGATTAAAAGACGATAAAACTCTTGCTTATGTACGGTTAATGAGTCGCATTTTGCCTCTGAAAGAAGTACCGGGTTTTCAGCTAGGTTGGTTAGATATAAGTACAATGAAGATGTCTCACTCTGCTCCTATGTTCGGTTACCAACATTGTTATCAACGAGAACCAAGAGAAAGGCTGACAGAGGAGGGGAAATGAGCATGTTGAAATTATATTACTGCTACAAAATATATTAAGCTCTGAGTCACATTGACTCCCACTTGGGAAACCAGATTGTACTCACTTTTCTTATTGATATGCTCAACAAACCTAGTGCATTGATGCAATAGTTGATACAGTTGTTGGTAGCAAAACATTTTTCTTAAATTGAAGACGTGATTTATACTATGATTTATAAAATACCCGTTTTATACACAAATAATTGGGAATTTTGAAGGCTGTTTAATGTTACAAGCTTATATTGTTACCTAAAACATTATCAGGGTTAGCCGTTTCATCAACAATTCTATCATCATCTCAATAGACGATCTTAAGAATTTCATTCGTTGCTATTTGTCACGTGATTCACATGTTTACATCCGGGTTCGTGTTGTTTAACTTCCGGAGCTGCGCAGTGGGAGTCAGCTGACAGTTGTGGCCAACCAGCGGGTGTAACATCGCAACTTGAGGAGACAGTGAAGGGAGAAAACAGCCTCCCTCTGTCTGTAGTAACCGTATCAGCCACGGAGAACCGGACGGTTGTTACCCCACGATACCTGGACACGTCCTCCCGCCTCCCGCAGGATGAGTGTCGGTGCTCCGAGGGCCCTGGCCAGCTCGGGGCAGAAGCCCATCACGGAGATCCTCCACCCGCTGTCCGCAGCCGAGGAGCCGCTCTCCGTCCCCGTCGGAGTGGACAAGGTAGGCAGCCTCAACCGGGGCTTTACCGAAACCTGTTATGGTGCTTTGAGAACAACCAGGGGCTGGAGAAAGCACCTAACTACTCTGTGTACAGTGACCTGATTTCAGGCTGCCACCAGTGTGTGTGGTTGAATCCATCAAGTAGTCCATTAAGTGAACTAATGGAAGTTTAATTGCGAAAACGGGATACACATTAACCGACCCTTCTTCTGGTTAATGTTTATTATTTGTGTGTTTACTTTAAAGTGTTGCTGCCTATGACGGGAGTGATTTGAGCCTGAATAGTTTGAATTTGACCATAAATCAGTGTTGCATGTAAGCTTAACCTTTTAGATGGCTATTTCTTTAAACAAGGGGGTTGTTTTTTGAGAATACAGCAAAAAAACAACCAAATGCATGTAAGAACAGACAAATTCAGAAACAAAATACTACACACTATGAGTAATGTTTTTTCAATACATTGACTCCAGTTTCCACATATTTTGCTCATTCTATAAAGGGGACCTGACATCATTATTGGTGTGCCGTGTAAACAAGGATTGATCAAACAAACAAGTCATACAGCTTTTACAATCCTGTGGTTTTACATACAGGAGGAGTGACATGCTGAGCAACCACTTTGAGTGAAGTTAATCATTGTTGATGATGTGATATGTCTTGAACCTCCACACAAACTAATCTGTTTAGCCTGTATGAGTTCCTCTGTGATCCTGGCCCACAACTGAGGAGGCAATTATGCATCTGCCCCCAGTCTGTTAGCAGAATGTTCTAACAATCTGTCAACACTCTCCAATGAAAGTTGATGGAATGTTTGAATATGGGCCTGGAAAATCATATTTTTCACATTTCATATTTAACCATACAGTGTTAAGAAGTACAACTCTTTAATTTGTTATGTTTATTTGCATGAGGGCCAGATTTGGAGCATAAACCAATGTCACACACCACAGCATCAATAGACTAAACTAATGTGCAACTAATGTTACTAGATAGGCCTTTAAAATACACAAGAGACAGTATAATAGGCACATGCATTACAATTTAACAGGAGAAAACAGACCAAACACTCATTTTGTTTTTATATTATCTTTTACACCATATATATTGTTTTCCTGCAATATTCAATCATATCCATAAGCAGAGGTTGATGTCCTTAAATGGGCTGCATTCCCCGGAGATATTTGTCATCACTCTAGGAAAAGCACATGTTTTAAATTAGTAAGATATTGGCTCAGATCCATTTAGCTGCTTGGGTCTTTATGTCCTGATATTCTGCATGCTGTCTAGTTAATAAGTAGTTAATGCCATAAGTAACACCTCTGCTTTCTCTACTATGACAGTTAAAATGTCTCCTGCTAAAAAGGCCAATAAAATAGTTATGCAGACATAATGACTTGGTCTCCCTCCATATTTATCAGCCAAAACTGTCCAATATGTTCAAAAAGTTTGAAATGACTGTAAAAATGCAATATTTTCGCTCCACCACAGTATGAACGGGGATAAGGGAATGTTAATTATTTGGTTATAATATGGCTATACTGTATACACTAGGCTTCGTATTGAAAACACATTCTCCTCAGTGTAAATCTTTTTCAGATTCTTCCTTAGTGTGTTTGTGTTTGGTTGTTCATTCACAGTGGTGTGATGACGCAACGCCACGCAATTATCTGAGCTGTGATTACCAGTGCAGGTTAGCACCACAGTGTGAAGAACTGCACAATGTCAGCAGCCTGTCTCTGTTTCTGTGTCTACACAGCAGCAGAAAGAGAGTGGTGTGAAGAAAAAGTGTGTGTGGTTGTGCAGTGTGTGTGAGAGACAGGGGAGCCCCTTTCTTCACACTGATTTAACTGGGAATTAGCACACAATTTGGTGTTAGAAAAAGGGATAAAGGTTGAACTTGAGCTGCTTTTTTGCATGAAATCAAATGTGACATATTTTTTGAGTTGTGTTTAGATGCTGCAGCCCTGCTACCAAAGTGTTTTGCCTACCTTTCTGTTGCAGTGTTGACATGTTTAGTCTTTTAGTTTACATTTAACATTCTGTTGCCTGTGGTCCCTGTGGTTTGCCTGTGTAGTAATATTTTAATACTTTGTCAAAATTCATTTTTCATCCAGTGGATTCCACATGCTGTCTCTTCATTGAAGGGGGAAAAATGTCCACATCCTCCAAAATTGTCCAGTAATTAGCTTTTTGCAGCTTTTATTTAACTTAAGTTGGAGCTTGTGGGGAAAATGTTCTCTCTGCAGTTTTAGAAATTCAAAAGTGTGTGTGCATGCGTTTTCACACTAACGTAACTGTGGGAAAGTGTCTTGGAATAGTTTGGCATCAGTTTGGTCGTGATATCGGTCAAACCTGTTTTTGTAAACAAGTTACGGTCTGTGTTGCTTAATGCTCCAATTCACAGGAAACTATCTGTCTTTTCAAAATAACAGTCAACATTTCCCACGGGTTAGGATTAGGAAAACACGCTTATTTAAAAAGGAAAAAAAATGTTCTCCATCAACTTAGAGATGGTACAACAAGCTATTATTCTCCCACAGTTAGAATTCTTTAGCATTAAGGGCCGTTAAAATGTGTCCCCAGCCCAAAAACGCTCCATTTCTCTCCCCTCATCCGTCATTCAATTAGAGAGACAGCAGTAGTGTCAGATGATGCACCCAGCTCCAACAAGAGCCCCATTGAGAGTGGCAAACATATGCATCAGCATCCATCCATCATTCACCACTGTGTTCTCTGTCCATGCAGCAGGAAGTGGGGCTGACCAATGGCACGCCGGTGGAGACGTCGAGTCCCGCTTCCACGTCCTCGCTCTTCAACCGGCTGCAGCTGGACGACGACCTGGAAGCAGATGTGCGGGACCCCTACGCAGACAGCACGGAAATGCGTGACCTTTTCGTCACCGTTGACGACCCAAAGAAGCACGTCTCCACCATGGAGACCTACATCACCTACAGAGTCTCCACCAAGGTCTGCTATTGGCCTGTGTCATGGTAGCACTGTAATATAATATATGAAAATAAGAGCTCTAATACTATTATTTTATTATTAGCGGCATCATATTGGTTGTTAAGCATGTACTAGCCCACCTGCCAATCATTTATTTCCCCCTTTGTTATATCCTCTTATGTTTTTGCATTTTTATAATTGTGTTCAAGTTCGATATCTAAGTGCTACAAGCTTCCTGCCAGCTTGCAATCAGCAGCTGATTCCCAAACCCCCGGCCGTATTACAATACTGCGCTGTAATGTTAATACACACAATTAGTATTTTTATTTCTGGGATATCTAACATGCTAAACTTTCAATACGATAGATAATCCATCTCTGGCTCCTGACTCTTCACAATGCTTCGACCCATATTTGTTGGTGTTTAGCTTTTCAGAAACAACATTTGTACCCAGGCAGAAAGCTGTTTGCTCTCCCAGTTGCTGTGCACAAAGGGAGACAAGTACCTATTTGAACAGAGCACCACAAATTACACAATCTATTTCAGAGTGTTGGCATCGTAACATTTAACATCCTGAAAACCCCAATAGAAGCTTTCAACGTGAAAACTGAAAAGTCATAAGGGATTTATATTCCAGTCAGAGGGCGGATACGTTCAGGTACTTTTGTTCACCAGGTGGATGCTCTGCTCCATCCTTCACATCTGTCTGACAGTAAGCCACCACTCAGCCTGACAGGACTTAATTTGCTGTGACTTTCAGCAAGGAGTCGTATTTTCGGAGGCCTTTCCTACGGTGTAAATGAAAGAAACAGATTCAGAGGGAGACAGTGCCAGGAGCCGCCCGGGTGGCGTCATGACGACCGTTGCCATGTGCTCTGTTGTGCTTCGGCTCAGAGGCCTCAGAGAAATATCACAGCCTGATATGAACACAGTATGTTAATTGAGAGCATGTGGGGGACGTCTTTTATCACCGTAGTGTCAGAGAGGCAGCAAGTGCTTTCTCAGCTATATTTCAAGGTCACTAGCGTAAAGAAAAGAAAAAGAAACATGGCCGTCCTCCAGTCTACCTAGGGATTGTGTGCTCTGATGTCTCAAATACATTATCCTCTCAGGTAACATAGCAAATGCTCTCATGTTTGTCTTTTCTCCAGACATCACGGGTGGAGTTTGACCTCCCGGAGTACTGTGTGCGGCGGCGATACCAAGACTTTGATTGGCTGAGGATCAAGCTGGAGGACAGCCAGCCCACCCACCTCATCCCTGTAGGTCACATGACCCGCCCTCCATGCAACCTGTCCTGTTTTCCATCAAGAAACGCTTAATTGACAGTCTATTCCTTCTCTTTCCTTCTCCTTCAATCTCTGTTCTGCTCTAGCCGCTGCCCGAGAAGTTCGTGATGAAGGGCGTGGTGGATCGTTTTTCGGAGGAGTTTGTGGAGACGAGGATGAAGGCTCTGGACAAGTTCCTGAAGAGAGTTGCCGATCATCCCGTCCTCTCCTTCAACCCACATCTAAATGCTTTCCTGACGGTCAAGGTGAGACAACACAACAGGGTTGAGATCAAAAAAATCCAGCGCTTGTTAAATCATCTCTGTCCTCGCCCATAAACAAATCTGTGTTAAATGATTTGCCAGGAATAAGGAGACAAAACACACAATAACCAAATTGTTACATTTGCTATTGATACTACAATAATATCGTTATAGTAAATGTATTTTTGGCCACAATAATAGTGTAGTGGAAATCTAATATTGCGACAGTCCTAATCAATAGGGGTGTGTGTCTGTTTGTGTGTTTTCTCCACATACGCCAACAGTCACCTATTTTGTCTCCAAGCATACGAGACACAAGACAAGACTTTATTGATCTCTGCGGGGAAATGAGGTTGTTACAGGAATAAAATAATTAGGACTCAGAAAAAAAGTGCAGCATCAGCATTTCAGAACAATATAAAATGTACCATGTACTGTAGGTGAAACAGATAATAAACAACAAGAGCAGCTGTAGCATTCCATTCATGTGACTATTTCAGCACTTTAGGTATAAGATAAATATTAGCCTTGATTTCTTCTGATGATTGACTTCATACCATTTATCACAATATGCAATGTCAATTAGGTGTTTAGCTGGCACAAGGTACATAGAAAAACACATCTGCTGCTTCATTCTTTTTATTCTCGGCCTCACGTCTGCAGGACCTGAACAAGCGTCAGGGTCTCGCCCTGCTGTCCAAGGTGGGCGAGTCGGTGAAGCACGTTGCCGGGGGTTACAAGCTGCGGGCGCGACCGGCAGAGTTCTGCGCCATGGGAGAATATCTGGACACCTTCAACCAGAAACTGGGAACCATCGACCGCATCGCTCAGAGGATCCTCAAAGAGCAGTCAGGTAGCAACAGAGGAGACTGAGCATAATGAAATGCACTCTCAAGGTTCACGATTCTTCCTTTTTAAAACACATTTCTTTGGAGCCTTTTATTGGACAAAAGTCCTTTTTCTAGTTCTAATAAGTAATAATAAGCAACAAAGGGGGCTTGCAAATGGTTTTAAACCACTTCATTGATTGATTTGGTTATTAAAGAGACAAGTAAGAGAGGGATGATTACAATGAATTACAAATGAGAAAACTATTCCATTCAAATAGAACTTCAAATATGTCTAGACAATCATTATACAGCAACAAATTAAATCAAAACCTGATGAAATATTTCAAAATTAACAAAGGAGCTGTTGGGAAATAATTGTATATCAATGTGAAAAACATAATAATACCTACATCCCCAAATAATTGTAACGTATGTTTTTAAAGAGGCAAAACAATTTTTTTTTTCAATTGTTATCCCTTCATCTCTTTTTATTATTTACCAATTCTATTACACACATTGTGACAAAAACTTAACATAGTAAAAAAAGGGCCTGGGTGTAGTAAGTACTTCCTGGCTGGAGAGCTGAAGCCACTCTTTCACTTCACTTTGCAAAAGTATTTTAGGCAGCAGGAAGCAACATTTTGACACCTCTGTGTGCTGATGGCAAAACAGCCTCAAGTAGTACTCTCTGTCTATACTCTACCCCTCTTAAGCAGTTATTGGTATATGCTAATTTACATTATTCTTGTGGTGAGCCTATATCATGCAATGGTTCAGTCTGAAGCTAGGTGGTGGCTAACGCTAGCTTGTGTGGCTGTATCTGCAGTGTTGACTCAGTGCTGTTGTTGCAGGAGAACCCGCAGACCTTTGGCCTTCTGGGAGCACGGTTGATGCGGTCCTAACTCATGCATGACAAGTGATCCTGTAAATACCTGACATCTGCCGGGGGAAATGTTCGTTGTGACCATCTGTCAGGGTTTAAACGTGTTGCAGTCTGTGGCCTTAGAAACCCGCTGCACAAACGTTTCCATATTGGAGGAGATAAGATGGAAACTCAGGAAACTGTAGATAATGGAGGCCTACGAGCTGGCTTGGAGTGTACAAAGAAAAAAGGGAAAAGAAAATGATATGCGTAGCTTGACTCAGCAGCCCTGTGTTTAACCATGACATTTTTTGAATGTGCAATTTACCAAAATAGACAACTGAACACCCCTTTCTCTCCGTATTGAGGATAGAAAGTTCTGGTTTGATTGGTTTTCCGGTCCATCTGTGTCTTGTGAAGCCACAGAGATATAAACACCGTTTATCTACAGGTCACTAAGAAGGAAAAAAGAAACCCAGCAAAAATAGTTGTCTAAAGCATTGGAGGTTCTAGGGGGGGCGAACAGGGGCCAGTGCCCCTGTAACATGGAGCTTGGACCCCCCTGTGGACCCCCTACAAAAGAATACATATATGATAATGCAATTCATGTAAAATACTAAGTTACTGTGCTCTTACCTGGGCCAAAGTTAACAGGATTTATTTTTGTTCAGTAATGTAGTTTAATAAGTTGGAACTAAGTTACTTTAACAAATGTTGTGACTAAAACAAACTTCTTTTAATGTTCTGTATCTTGGGCCAAAGTAACAAAAAAACAACAACAAAAAAGTAATTGACACAAACTCTGTTACTAAATCAAACACCAATGATGCTATTCTATGTTTTTTTATGCGCAATGACTTTAAATGAAAAATGTTAAAATCTCCTTGTTCCTGCTTTAAACGGGCCCCTCTCATTAAATGATTGGCCCCATCAGTAAAATGTGTGTAGAACCGCCACTGCTCTAAAGTGAAGAAGACCTTAACTCCTCTTTCTCCCCCCCCCCCCCCCCCCAGAGTACCTGACGGAGCTGCGTGAGTACGGCGGTGTGTACTCAAGCTGGGTGGGGTCTGAGGAGGAGCTGCGGCGCCCCCTGGAGGGCGTGGCCGGCTGCGTGACCACGAGCTGCGGAGCGCTGGAGGACCTCGGGGACAACATGAGCCTGGACTTCCTGCCTGTGCTCCGAGAGTACGTCCTCTACCTCGAGTCCATCAAGGTGAGGGGGGGGGGTCGTACAGAACCGTTTATTGTGATGTAATCCAGATCCTAGTGGCAGACCACTGTATTGCAACAACAAACAAAAAAAAACCTGTGGCCTGAATTAACCTTTAGACTTTTAGGATAAAAAAAATATAGATAATTCATATTTTTATACATGTAGTGTTATTAAATAGAAATTAGAGTAGATTTTTACTTTTCTCTTGTCTTTATTTGATCCCAGCAGCACATATCAAAAATATTAAATGAGTACTGTTCATTAAAAAAAAAGGAATGTGATTTATATAACGCATACAATGCCCCTATCCAACTTTTCTTGTACACATACCATTTTGAATGATCAGAATGAATTAAATAAAAACCCACTTTATCAATTGAAAATATGTGAGAAAGCTGTGAGCAGCTCCTCCATTTCCTTTCCCTTGCATCATCAGCACATAGTTCCCTTCTTCAAGCTGAGTTGTCTTTTTCCCCTAGAGGAAATAGCATCTGATATTCCGCATGTGTCATATCCTGTATCCACCCAGCTCCTAAATCATCTCTGTTTAAGATTTGCTTACTATTTTTGTTTGCAGAAATATTACAGTGTCAGTAGACCTCACGCTTACTGTGCTAAATAAAACATTTTTTTTTTTTTTATGGTTGATTACAGAATGTTTTGAGGAAGCGAGACCAGAGCCAGGCGGAGTACGAGGGCCGACTAGAAGCAGCCATACTGCGCAAACAGGAGGACAGAACGCCAGTAAGCCGCTGATGCCATTTCCTTATGTGTCTAGTTTTCTAGAGTTCACGGTATAACTGTATGTGACCTTTTGTATTATAAAGAAAGGGAGTGTTTCAGACAGCAATTTTCTTCAGAAATCAAATGGAAAATGGAAAAAAGGCTGAGTAATCCCTTCAAAATAAAAGCTTTTTTGTCCATACACAATACTAACACCACACAGAAAGGTATTCAGGATTTTAGACTTTGAACATCTTTCCTTTTCCAACAATCCCCCTTCCTTCCATAACTCCTGCTCCACCCCTGTGGTTGAAGCCCTGCGACCTGTAGTTTTTTAATAATGTCCCCTGAACGCCCCTGTAGCTCTAGTTCTCTCTCTCTCTCCGCAGATGCCGCTGGAGGTGGAAAAGTGCCAGGACAAAGTGGAGTGTTTCAACGCGGACCTGAAGGCCGACTGGGAGCGCTGGCAGAGCAACAAGAGACACGACTTCAAGCAGCTCCTCACCGGCATGGCCGACAGAAACATCAACAGCTATGAAAAGGTAGAGCACCAGGAAGTGACCTCAACACACTGCAAAAGCAAGGACATTCACACAAGTTTGTATCGTATTGTAATTATTGATCGAGCATTTTTGTAGTTGGAACAGAAACTGATGTATTCTGTATTTAGTGAGAGCACCCTGGCCTCTGTTGTAGACTTTTTCTTCTAGCTTTTTCCACCCATTTTCAACTGTCAGTGGAGAAAATAGTGATTAGCATGGCTGAGTGTTATTATAACATTTTTATAATGATAACCATTACAATATCTGAGATCCCAAATGTTTTAGATTTCTTCAAACAGGTTTCTATAGAAAATTGAAATTGGCAAATTGGTTGGAATCGTATTAAGCAATATCTGATACAGCACAAATGTCAAACATATACTAGTTCAAGATTTTTCTGTTAAATATCAAAGAAAATGTCCTGTTTTTGAGCTTTGAAGCCCTGGTTCTGCCAAACAAATACAAAAATATCCCTATTGGCTAGGGGACATTTTCTTATTTAAAAGAGAAGCTTATTAGCAATATTAGAAGGGTTACATTAAGATGAGTCAGAAATAATTCTCTGCATGTGTAAAATGCCTCAATAGATCCTTTATCTGACTCAAGATGATATTATGTGTGTACCCAACGCTCTGGAAACAATTTGGTTGGTACTTAAGGCAAGGTTGATTTAATTTTTTTAACCTATTTCATACACAGACGTCAGTTCAAGGTGCTATACACAATGGAATATAATTCACAATTGGACAATACAGTTTACCTGAGTTTGGTATCAGATCCACCAGAGCACTGGCAGAGCTGCAGTGAGATATCAGTTGTTTACTTTCTATTAATCCGTGATAGACTCACTGAACATGAAGGCTCTTATCAGAAACACTCTGTACACACTGATACAGTTACTCACACTGACAGCTGGGAGTTTCTCAGTACACCCTCTGACCTCCAGAAGCAATCCATCAGAAACACTTCAATCAATTGCTCAAGGGCACCTAAGACTTGGCAGAAGCTAGATCTATCTCACCAGCCCAAACAGGATCAAATAAGCGACCTTGAGAAAAATGAAGCCTACTGTAATCACACAAACTGCCACCGGTCTCACTTCATCTCCCTCTGTCTCCCCCACCTCCCCCCTCTGCAGAGCCAGGCAGCGTGGGAGTCGCTCATCACTCTCCTCCAGGACAAACAGACTGAGGACAAAACGAGCGAGACGAGCTGAACCTCAAGTTTTTCTCCGTGTCACACACTCTCCCACGCCAAGGAGAAGCCGGGCTGCAGGGACGGGCGCTGAATAGGAAAGAGAGGGGAAGGCGCGCTCAGGAGAGGGACGGCGGCCCTGCCCCTGGTTCTCCTGGGGGGGGGGCTTTCACTCTCGCAGAGGTCTGACTTGGGAGTGAGGTAACAAACGGTACATTCAAGGACAGCTGGGAAAGAGGAAATACCTACTATATACAGACTATTTCCTTTTTGTTGTTTTATTGACTTTTTCTACTTAATATTTCCAATTTAACAGTCGGTTGCCATGCTTACCTGTGTTTATTTAACTCGTTGTCTCACTGAGGCATTTTCTGTCTCTTTTCCCATTTTCACATCGAGCCAAATGTGAAGGATCACTCTTCAGCGTTGCAGAAATCAGATTAAATGGTAAAACATGAAGTATACAGAGTGTCCCCAAGAGTTATTTTTGATGTCAGGTTGTAAAAGCTTCAACACGGAAACAAGACTTGTGAAATTCTCTCTCATCTCTTTAAGTTTTGTCCATAAATAACAATCAACATCCATAAATGTCCATAAATAACAATCAACATCCTTTATTTAAATGGCCACATTATGCGTGTTTCAGCCCATCAACTCTTTGTTTTTCAAAGGCATACATTTTAATGTTATAATAAAAATCTAATTGCAGAGACTTATTACAATCTGGGGCATCCAAGATTTTCTACTCAGCCTTTTGTTTGGTTTGCAGGCCGAGAAAAAGCAGGAAGTTTAGCAAGATGTGTCAAAGAAAGACAATTTGGGAAAAAAGGCACTGCTTATTCTTGAAAGGGAAACTATAGGAATCATGATTAATCTGTATCCTTACTTGAACAATGTTGAACAGAGAAGTCAGAGAAGGGATTTTGTTGGAGGTCATTTTGTGTTTTTGTTTTGTTGTGAGAGCTGTGCAGCAGCACCTCCTGGTGGTTAAGAAGTGTTTCATTCTTTTAAAGGTCCCCTATTATACTGTTTTACATCAATATATTATAGGTCTCAGATATATACAAAACACATCTCTGAAGTGTTTGGCTCGAAATACAAAGCCATAAACCCCTCTATTTCAAACCTGTTCAAAAAGTGCTGATTCTGTGTCTGTAGCTTTAAATGCAAATGAGCTGCCGCTGGCCACGCCCCTCTGTGAGCTGATTGGGTTAAAAAAAAAAAACTCAATGTCGCTCTAGAAGGATATTCAGGTGATAAGGTGGGGGGTGTTACCTTGGTTGGTGATTGCCTGATGGTTGCACAAAGTGGCCAAAATCTGATCAGCTCATTTTCAGACAGGTTTTTATATAAATGGATCAGAACAAAAAGAGAGCGGATCTTTTTTCCTGAAACTTTCAGAATCTCTTAACAAAGTGGATTTTGCATAATAGGTGACCTTCAAAAGAAAACTGTGTGCTTCTTCTGTTGATGTCATATGTTGGTTTTGTCATGGCCATTTATCTTCATAAATTCATGCTGTGAAGATTTCTCCAAACTCGGTTGAGGATACTAAATGGCACAACAGGCAGACCTATCCAATGAAAAGCACAAAGAGGGACTATAGGTGTAATTTATTCTATTCAAACAAAGGAATACTAATGGGGGTCAACTTTTTTGTAAAACTTTTCAAATTAAATGTCATTTTCTCAGAACCACCTGCCACAGAGACTCGTTTAGAGAACGCTTTGCATTGGGAACATGATGGGGCTGGAGAGTGACGTAACACATGTCTGGAAATGATCAGAAATAACCTTTTGGAGGAGAGTTTGAGACTGTCGACTTCTGTTCAAGTTTCCATTGGTGAATTTCTCAAAAGTGCTGACACTGACTTCTGGCATTCAGAGGAACCAGCAGCACTGAGGCTTCTGCTCAATCTGTGTCGTATTAACACCAGAGGGAAAGATCTAGCAGCACTCAGATGAGTTTGGGAAATCAGAGCCAGACATTGCAAAAACTGCTTCTTCTGCTTTAAAAAGTGTAATGTGGAAATGATGTGCTCTTTGGTTCTGATTGTGAAGAGTGGCTCAGCTCTGACTCATGGGTAACATTTAGTCTTTTTCAGATTCAGCAGCGTCACGCTTTGTCTCTTCTCCAAATGTTGCTGATGCCTTAAAATCCACTCTGAGATGTTCTGTAATACGTCAACGTCTAACATTATTTCCTGAACCGGCTTGACTTAGTCATGATCGTTTATTGCTTCTCCTGAAATTGTTGATCATTTAAATGTCCTTATTTTTCTCTGTCCCCTTTGCTTTACTGCTAGTTCATTAACCTCAACATAAAGTAGTGAACAAATCCCACCAATGATGACCAGGCCAGGCATCTTCCAAATAACATTTACAAACACGCCGATTTGAACTTTTTTCCATTTAATTGCACTACAAAAAGTGTATTTTCCCAACACATGTCATTATGTATTCTGTTTTTTAAAGAGATTCTTTAGCTTAATATAATTTAGTTCAGACTTTAGGTGCTGATTTGAATTTCGGGTCCGTGCCCCTAGAGGTTCCTGTGTTTTTATATATTTTAAATTTCTTTCTGTCAGATTCTCTTTGGAAGGCCCTTGTCCTGTTTTAAAAGCTGATGTCACATTACTGTCGTCAGTGCAGCAGAGTGTGAGTTCTGTAAGAAGAGAGGAAGTAACTACTTTCACTACTCGGTCAGTTCTCTTTTTATTTGTTCGTTATGTTTTCCCCTCAATCTTTAAAAAGCATTGAGCAGATACTATTTCCAATTTGACATAATCAGGCAGCAAGATGGGGAGAAGGTCTACGGATGTGCCAAATGTCTGTACTCGTTTCCTTATATTGAAATCCATCGCAAAGAAGTGTTCATAAAAAGAGCCTCTGTCACATGAACTGTAAAAGAAGACCACCATTTTGATCAGCAAACCACTGCTTTTAAAGGAGCATTTCCATGTTCATTTAAGGTTTATGTTCCTTTTCTACATTTGCAATCCTTGTTGGGTTGATTGTCACATCTTATATGGACATCCACCACAATTTAAGATATTTAAAATGATTAATCCAGCAGATGAAGTCATTGTTGTTTGATTAGTGACTGCTAGAATTCAGGAAGGACAGACATAGCTATCAGGCACAGTTTAGAGTTTTGGCTACTAAGAAGCTATTTGTGTTTGTATCACAAGAAACCCAGTGTTTTGGTCAGAAGAAATAAAAGTGATTTGAACACTTAGAACCTTTTATTTTGATTGTTTTATCAAATGATGGGATCGGTGCTTTTTTGACTCTCCTGCTGTCTGGTGTAGATGAAGTGACCGAGCAGGAACACTTTTGGGATCATTCAGACTGGATTTTATTTTTTTTCTCTTATCACAATATACTGTATAAAGATAATAATATACCCCAATGTTAAGCTGAATTATATGGTACAGTCTATTTTTGTATAAAAGAAGCAGGTGATCATTGTTGGGTTTTTAATGAGCATATGAATAACAAAAGGGATTATTGGAGATTTGTACATTTTGCATAACTGGAATATTAAAAAAAAAGGCATTTTTAATTTATTTTGATGTTCATTGGAACCCCAACGATAGTAATCTGATCCATGGTGATAATCTGATAACCTGTTCTAACTCATAGTCATTGTAAATGTCCCATCTTATACTGTGTGCCTGCTGAACCTTTGCACTATATATGTTGTTCCACCCCATGACGGATATGTCTGCTAAAAAGACATTTAAGCAAAAAACGAAATAATTTTTCAATCACTTGCCAAAAAAAGAAAATGCATACTCAGCTAGGTTTTAGGGTCGATGATAGCGGACACATCCTGTGAAGAGTGGGGAGACACCATTTAGGTTTTTCTTTAATTTATAATCCAATGTTTCCAAGCCAAATGTCCCTGTTTTTTCATCCTGTTTTGGAACCACACATGAATGGAAAAGCTGATCCATCTCACCTGTATGAAAGGTTGAAAATCAGCGTCTTATGAACGTGTGAATCTATCTTTGGTTTCCTCCCGAGTGTGTACTGTTTACGTTCAGCCCTGCATTTGAATGTTAATAATATCCTGTTGTAATTATAAATAAGCTTGTATATTGATGTCGTTTTGATGCAATTTAACTTTACCTCAAATGATTGTTTTGGATATATTGGACCAACAATAAAAAGAAAGAATGCGTTTGATACTCGACTGCTCAGGTTTCTTTTTAGTTTGTCTTTTGTAATATTCACTTTGATCTCAAAAAATAAAATGTATTGTAAATGCACACATGTAAAACTGAATCATAGAAATGACAACATATAGCATACCTAAAAAAGTCATAGTGAAGTATGTTTTAATCATAAAAGGTTGTTGTAAGAGAAAAAAAAAGTCATAGTAAAATGTTATTAAAAATGCAAAAGGTCATACTATATTATGTCTTAAAGAAGAACTATAGACTGTCATATACTTGAATGTTCAAAACAACTTTATTGGCAGAATTAGTGTGAATTTCACAACAGTTGGTTCCATATCAACAAATCACATTAAAAACTTCAGACAAACCTTTGACATTGTTATCAAAAACAAAATACCGTACCAGAGTTGCAGCTTTAAGTCTCATCAGTGCAAATGCCCTCTGTTTCAACCCCAACATGAACTGTACCTTGGCTGTAATAAACGTATTCAAACCTATTTCAAGGTATTGACAGGAGCCTTTGTGGGTTTGTGCCTTGTTAAGTGTAAACAATTAATAGTGCAATCATAAAGTAATGCATAACATAAAAAAACTATGCAGGCTGCACGTTCTTTCCTTCAATCCAACAAAAGTAAAAATAAAGCACAATTACAGGACACACACACACACACACACACACACACACACACACACACACACACACACACACACACACACACACACACACACACACACACACACACACACACACACTTGCGTGGCTATTAAAAAACACATTTCTAAATTTGATATTTTTATAACCCTAACCTCAAAGCAGTAGAAAAAATAACCCTAAAAGTGCAAATACTTTTCAAATGATGTCCCTATACACTCCGTCATTCTTAGCTCACACTCCTTTAGATGATGGCTGCAATGGGACAAGTTGGACACATTCAATGACATATTTACATTGTGGTAAAATCCCCTTGTTGGTGTTGCCGTAGAGATGACTTTAATGTATAAAAATGTCACTAAAATTCTGTTGGTTTATGACATTTGTCAAAACCAATTGTAAAATAGGTATTTGTTCATATAAAGGCCTGTATTGGAGTACAAAAATAGAAGTAGGATCTCCTCTACTACATGTCTAAAGTTTCACCACAATAGGAAGTGACATTAAAGGCACCATTCTGCTTTCTGCCCAATTCCTGTCTCAGTTGCTTACTCGTACCGATGCTAGCTCACGGCTGACGTGGGGGGGGGGGCTCAGTCCTCTTGGATCGTTTCGTCCCGTTGCCTTTTAGGAGATCTGCAGCCGATGACACTGGAGGGAGAAGAGAGGAAATATTATGATGAGAAAACGAGGTGTGTGAGTCTTCAAAGCAGGATAAACAAGTTTGTACATCAGCAGGAGACATGTCATGTAACAACAATACTGTAGATTAACCCTATATACCAGCAACGTGCAGTCAGGGGAGGCATGGTCACCTGTCATACTCCAACGAAACGGAAAAAAAACTAAAGAAAAACTAAATAATAATAATAATAATAAAATCTCACCAATGATCTGTGTTGTAAATGTGATTTCGGTATAATTCCAATCTCTTTTTATTGTCAAAATCGGCAAATTTGCAGAGCTCCGCTACAACTAGGCTACATGGGAGCGATGAGAAGTAAGGCAGGCACGAGCTCTGCCTCACGTAACCCTACATCAACTGGCTGGAACGCGGGCACTAATTTAGAGCGGCCACTTATTTTGTGAGCGCGCTCAAGCCATAGGAGGACTTTTACAAAAAAGTAATAGAAATGGTTGTCCAGAAGGATAGCATGGACTTCATCTTCAAGTCAAGGTAAGACCACAATTGTAATGAAAATGGGATCTTACTAAGAGAGAACAATCCAATATTTAGATGTTGGGTATCCTTTTGTTGAACGGTCTGTTTAAAATGAATCGAAGCATCAGACTAAAAAAGCTTTTGAAAATAACAGAATATTTCGATATCAGTCAGTGCCTCACCAGCCATGAACCTCACCGCACGTCACTGCTATATTACCCTTGATGTATTTCAATTGTGTCTTTTCTTAAAGGTATCTACATAAGATTTAAGGTAAATAAATAAATAATGGCCTTATCTAAGTGGACAGGTGGGAATGGCATCAAACTTGTTATCTTTAAAGTAGATTTCACTATTGTTGTTTCGAAGTGAACCAGTTTGGAGCCTCAAATAAAATAGTTGTTGACAGGGAATACACTAATTGTTTTCTCTCAACTCATCCCTGCAATAATATCCAGAGGTGGGAAAAGTACTCAGATGTTGGACTTGAGTAAAAGTAGAAGTGCCAGAGTGTAGAAATACTCTTACAAGTAAAAGTCCTGCAATCAAAATGTTACTCAAGTAAAAGTACTAGTATTAGCATCAGAATATACTTAAAGTACCAAAAGTCAAAGTACTCACTATTCAGATTGGCCCATTTCAGAATAATATATATGATATGTTTTATAATTAATTATTCATCATTAAAGTGTTATCAAAGCTGTTAAAGGTGGAGATGGTTTTAATGACTTTATTTACTGCAGGGTAACTTGTGAATTTACTCCATGTGTAACTAAAGGCTGATTTAAGAGTTGAATATATTTCACATCATTTATCCAAATCTGTAAAGTAACTAAAGGTATTAAATAAATGTAGTGGAGTAAAAGCACATGATTTACCTCTGAATTGTAGTGGAGTAGAAATACAAACTAACATAATTGAAATACTCAAGTAAAGTACATCAACATTTTTACTTAAGTACAGTTCTTGAGTAAATGTACTTAGTTACTTCCCACCTCTGGTAATATCAAAGGACCAAATGCATTCATCTATGGTCAAAATATTAAAAAAATAAAATAACGAATAGAAATGTCCATAAATGAGGTAGAAATGTAATCAAACGTAGGGTCTAATCCAAACAAAAAGCACCATAAAGAAAGTCCCATTATAAGTAACGCATGAGAAAACAATCTTCAATTTTTTTGTATCAAACTTATCTTGTTTTCATACATTTTAAACCCTAAGACTGAAAAATGCTCCAAACAAATATTGATCCCTGGCATTGAGGGTATCAGTCCCGGCAACAGTGTATGACCCCCCTCTCACCATATTGGTATCATCCCCAGCACGGTGATTATGCTGGACAGCGTGAAGACGAAGCCTGGGAACCAGCCCAGGGTCTGCTGGTAGATCTTAGTGAAAGCCGGGAGGTAGGCCAGGCTGGCAAACTTCAGAGCCAGCTGCAGGGAGGTGAGAGCGGTGCCTGATGGGAAGGAGGAGAGACAGGGCAAAGGACAGATACAGTAAATACATTAGGGAGGGAAACACACACATATCATTTTCTTTTGGGATAAACTAATCTCAGAGGGATCTCTTTAAATCTCTTTTGGGGAATTAAATGTATTTGCTTTCTAATACCACTCTCAACTATATGTATAAAACACTGTAATCTCAGATTAGCAGAAAGACTGTAAACATCGTTATTTTATATTTCCTTGTATATGCACTTGTTGGCACGTAGACAGAAAAGGGGTTGATGTTGCTGCTGCTTGCATTGCACTGACTTATCAAACAAAGCAAACACAAGAGGAAAATCCCTAACAATGTGTGTTTGTGTGTGTGTGTGTGTGTGTGTGTGTGTGTGTGTGTGTCAGAAAGAAGAAGCATGACTCTGACTAGCCACAGAACATGCTCTTCACCACGTGTCATCTTTTTGGCACAGACCAGCGTGAGTGTTTTCAGTATGCACCACTCCTCCCTGTTTACATACCTGTCTACATGCTGCATGGCACCGTGCATACACACAGGACACTAAAGGCCAACAAACAAGGATTGGTAGCTGGATACAAATCTATGAATAAGTGCCTCAGAGGTGACTTAATTTTCCCGAAATTGTGGCTATGAGGGGCCTCCGGTCAGTTATTACTGTCTGTACGCTGATGTATAATAACTGTAGCAGTCGGAGCGTCAGTAAGGGAGTTCCTTCCTGATCTGCCCATGAACTTCAGACTGCAAACTCAATTTGTAGGAACTGTAATGTTGTAATCCTTCTTCCTCAACTTCCTTGTTTTAACACAGTCTGATGTTTGATTGGAACTACTGACACCATTGTGTATCTGTCTTGCTCTTACATGGCTACACACACACACACACACACACACACACACACACACACACACACACAGACACACACGACGAACGACACTTGTTGCACACTCACCACAGGAGGATGCAGGGACCTGCTGTGAGAGCAGAGATCTGATGGTGGGCATCGGGATGAGGGCGAACAGGGTGAGGGAGCGGGCTGCGGAGACATCAGAACTGAATGTTATGTTTCTGTAAATACCTCCACAATATCACTTTACACGCACCATCACCGGCTACTACTTTCTATACCTGTAGGATCTCACCAATGTCACCTAACAATCAGTTTGACCCAATATGTCTCAATATAAAACACTACTGGCTTTAATTGTGGCTTATTTCATACTATATGACATTTTTCATTACCTTGTTTGCAAACTATACCAAGAAGGCATTTTTTATATTTTTGATGTAATGCTATATAATATGACATCTATTGTGACTTTTTTGTGACATAATATACCTCAACATGTGAGGTATATTCACCCACCTGTTTGGCTTTCATCACTAATGGTGCTGATTTATACATCTCATATTGGTAGCTACTTCTTTATGAGTTTGCTTTATAACAAAAATAAATATTTCGAACCACAACCATCCATCCATCCATCCATCTTCTCCCGCTTATCCGTGGTCGGGTCGCGGAGGTAGCAGTTCCAGCAGAGATAAGCGGGAGAAGATGGATGGATGGATGGATGGTTGTGGTTCGAAATATTTATTTTTGTTATANCCACAATTTAAAGTAATTCACACAGACTCTCTCCTCTTTACTCTTCTCTCTGTGAGGAGCAGCAAGCTGTCAGAACAAAGTGAAAAACAAACAATGGCATAAAAATATTATGAATATGTCGGGTAGTAATAGATTTATTTATTTTCTTCTCAGAGTGTATCAGAATGCGTAGTTTATATGTTAGTATTTCTAAAAATCTCCTGGGGGAAAATCCCCTCAGACCCCCTTCTGGGGTTGGGTTTTCAGCATGTATGCCTTTTTATGTTACAAAGTTCAGCTTTGATTCCATCATCTCATTAAACCTTATACTTTAGTTCTGTGAAGGGATATAAGGGATATACGCGCTGTACTTCACTTTAATTAATAATGTATGCTGTAAAGCGTATATATTACAGCACGATTTTTTGTTGAATAGGTTGTGGTTCGAAATATTTATTTTTGTTATAAAGCAAACTCATAAAGAAGTAGCTACCAATATGAGATGTATAAATCAGCACCATTAGTGATGAAAGCCAAACAGGTGGGTGAATATACCTCACATGTTGAGGTATAGTATGTCACAAAAAAGTCNTAAGGGTCGACATCAGCAAAGATGTTTTTTTGAGCAGATGATCACTACAACATAAGTTTTCAAAACCGTTTATGGTCTCCGGTACTTCCAGCCCAACGCCTACTGCATGTACATCGTTAGAAAATCGGGCCTTCAAAAATAAAAGTTTGACTTTTTCCCCAAAAAAGAAAAAAAAAATTCAATTTTTTTTCTTCACTCACACATCCGCGGATCGCGACCCACCAATTGAGAACCACTGGTCTATGATATCATTAAGAAGACATTTCTATTGCACTTTATCTGGCATACGACATAATGATACTTTTTATGACATACTATAGTAGTATGGCTCTCACTCTCAATTCCCCAAATTGGTTCCTACATTTCAGAATGTGTGCTGATAACAGAGATCTGTCAGAACACATAACAAAGATTCAGTTCCTCAGCTATATTCAATATTCATACTTCCAAATTCTAAATTGAATTCAGAAATAGCAACAAAAACAAAGTTGTTTTTTGCAAAGTGAAAGACTGGACTCTTGTAGTAATCGATTAACAAACTAAACCTGGTATTCCTATTAAGAATAACCGTTTTAACCATTGTGTCAATGTCAAAGTACTTTTTCATTATAAAAAAAAGAAGATAAATTGATATTGGTAGTCCAATATTTTGCCTATCCCGGGGCGTAAGGCAAAAACAGAAAAAATAAAACATGGCCTGAACTACAATCTGTCTGCATCAACTTTTTTTTCAAAGTTAAAATGTCCATTAGTCAGGATGGAGCACAAACTGTGTCTGAGTCTCACCCAGGTAGAACATGTAGGTTGCCGTGACGAAGGACATGAAGTAAATTCCCGATGCGAATGACAGCATGCCGATCAGGATGAGAGACGTGTCGCTGATGTAGCGGCGAAACACCATGACGCCCAGGAAGCTGGTCAGGAAGATGGTGCAGCCCGCTGCGTTCCCATAACCCACCTGGGGACGAGAGAGAAGGGAAATAAGGTCAAAGAGAATAAAACAATGGAAGAAAGGAAAAAATGAAGGGATCAATTACAAGTGAGACAAAATAAAATGAATATTCATTATACTGTACATAAAAACAAACTGTTTAATCATGATTTTACTTTACGCAGCCTGACATTACAATAAGTTGAATTTACAAAGCGTTACATGCATACTAAGTAAGTGAAACCAGCAACTTAGTGTTAATATTTCCCAATTTTCCAGGCCATTTAAAAGGTGAACGTTGACAGCTGCAAGTATTTATATAATTTCAGCTAGTATAATCTGTTTTACTCTATTATTTTCATCTAACTACATCCATCAAATTCACAAAGAGACCTTAATACAGAGATACTAAGAGAGCAACATGTCACCTGAGTGGCGCTCCAGCTGAGTGGCTCTTTCAACACAAAGGGGCCCAGTATTTCTATGGCCCCCCCCACTGCGGAGACGTACAGCATGGCAGCAACAAACAGCAGAGCCACGTTCACCATGTTCCTCCCTACAGGGGCCTCCACAGGGACCCCCCCGGGGGCCTGGGGCAGGAGGTCGCAGGCGTCCTCTGGCTCTGGGATGGGGACTGGCTTCACCTGAAATGTAAATGGATGAAGTAGTCTCAATTCGGGGAGAGAAAATGACGATATGAGTGGTTTAACTGTTTTAATTTGATCTTTTGTTACCCCTTAATACTATACAGAGTTTATAAGGGTGAGCTAATTCATTATTATTCTGGGGTTTTTAGTTGCAAAGTATATAGCATTTTGATGAACAGAGATTAACAGATTTTTTTTTTATGGGAAACGAATCAGTTAAAGGGTTGCCTATTAGTATTCATATAGTTAGTATTAAAGGCTGAATCTTCACCTTTTCAGTCAACATCTTTTGGTTTTCCTTTTCATTTAATGCCTTGTTGTTGTATATAATGTATGTGAGTTATTTTGTAAGATATTTTAGGTCTGAAAAACATTCCTGCTACTAGTATTACCTGTGCCACCCATTCCAACCGGCTGAACAACTTGACGGATATTATTCCATCCATTACATTCTTACAAGGAAATATGTCAGATGGTTTATCATCAGCAAAGAATGTTTTTCCAAGGTGGGGCCAAGTCAGTGCCAACAGTGAGTGATCTCAGTCTCTGGCTAAACATAATACAATGCTTTGGTATTTAACAAACCTTTCCAGAGGCAAAGTCAAAGTAAAACTAACAAACAACAACCTTAGTATAACTGTCGTCTATAAAATGTATTACTGCTTTAGTGCTGCTTGACTAATTAACCATTTTCCGAACGGGAAACAAAATTGTTGTTTATCAAAAACAAACGCACACACACACACACACACACACACACACACACACACACACACACACACACACACACACACACACACACACACACACACACACACACACACACACTGACCTGCAGCAGGGTGATGGAGTGTAAGAGGCAGAGCAGGTGCAGCAGAGTGCTCACGGAGAGCAGGATGGACCCGTGTTGGGTGCTGGAACTGTAGAGCAGGAAGAGGTGCCCCGACACCAGGCTGCCCACCAGGCCGGCCGCCCCGTACAGCAGCTCCACCCTCATCAACACCTGCAGGGGACAAGGAACATTTCTTCATTGAACAGTTGTGAAGAAAGTACATTTGTCCATTGTTGTTTTTGCATTCGGCAGATAAATGGTTAAACAAATATAATTTAGTGCCATTATATGTTGCTCTTGGTTGCATTTATGACAATGATGTAGCCTACTGTACATGCATTTGTCAAAATGGGTCACGAATTACATGACATTGTTAGGCTTTTGGAAAGTCTTTCACATTACAGTGCATATTTTGTCACATCACGATGTCTAATGCAGCTTTAAAAAAGACTGTAATTTCCCTTATCACAACACGTTTGTTCTGTGGTGGACTGTTACTTGTGACCTTCTTTCCTCAAGTATTGTCGCCTACTTGACTACAATTTCGTAGTTAAAAGCTAAAAGTAGCTATCCTACTCAACTGCAATTCAGGGGCAAATATGGCATTTTAATCCACTATATTAAAAAAAAAAAAAAAAACTTTAGGAGCCTACATTTGAAGACTGAGATTCAGAATGTTCAAGATAACACTTTGTTTTTACTTTATTAATAATTAAGTCGAAGTCCCAAAATTATTCTGAAATGGGATGTTGAGCATACTTTTTAAACTAAGCTATAAGTATATTCTAACGTTTATAAAATTATTATTTGACTTAAGTAGGCCTTGCATTTTGATAGGAGGACTTTTGCATGTAACAGAGTATTTATTTACTTTATTCTGTTGTACTTTCACACTTCATTGTGCAGCAGGTAACACTAACTGAGTACTGACCTTGGATCGGTCCTTCGCCGTGGAGCCGAGCGACGCCAGCGTCATCACGCCGGGCCAGTACGCGCAGAAGCCCCCAGACAGCCCGAAGACCACCCCGGCTCCGTACATCACCTCCAGCGGGAGCCGGAAGAGGACCACCAGCAGCAGGGCGAGCCTGGACAGCAGGTACCCGCTGAGGGGCAGCATGATGGGGGCTCTCCTCCAGCCGCGGTCCCCTAACCTGGCCAGCAACATGGCGGGTAGGATGGGAGTCAGCCCGATGATGAGGTTGTAGATCAAGAAGAAGTCTGTCATGAACTTCTGCTGGCTGTCTTTCTCGGATACGTCGGTGTAGGTGGCGTTGACACTCCGGTCCTTCACCACCATCTGCAGGGCCGTGTCGAAAAGACTGCTGCCCAGCTGCTCCAGCACCACCACCGACTCTATCTGCCGGAGGACCGTGAACGCCGCATGGCACGAGCCAGGCAGGACCATGGTGACACTGTCACTCACACACAACTCTCTTATGGAAGTCAAAATGAGTGGGAAAACTTCCACAAAGCAGCTGCTGGAGTTACTCTGGTGTCAATGCTGTTCCTGCTTTACCCAGTAGTGTGTGTGTTTGAAATCAAAAGCAGCGAGGGTGTAAATAATAATCTCCCACGCCTACTTCCTACTCTGACTCTTACCACAGGCACGACGATGACACTGGAAAGTGTACTCACTGTGTGAAATATTTTACCAAACACTGGGACAGCTCTTGGGCTTCTGTTCATGACAGTATGGCCTCACAACATTAACAAGTCCACACTTAAAAAAGTAACAATAACACAAAGGAAAGTTAAATCATCAAAGCTGATGTTATCTCTGGATTCCGTGGCATGTCAGGAAAAAATATAAATCAGTAAATAGACTGGTAGTTTATTTTTCTGATAGTGTTTTCATTATTGGATTTAAATTAAAGAGGCCCTATTATGCTTTTATGGGGTTTCACTTTCCTGTATTGTGTTATAGTTTACATCTGGGACATGGAGACATCACTACATAACATTCTTGTTTCTATTGGCTGGCATTCCAACATGATTTGTACATGACAGGCTGAGGGCAGGACATCTCAGCGGTTGACCGATCACAACAGAGCTAACCAATCAGAGCAGACTGGGCTCTGATTTCAGACAGGGGGTGAAAAGAGGTGCTGCAGCACAGGCAGTAGAGAAAAATAAAGACCGTTTGAACATTAAAACATGTAAACATGTTGCAGAAGAGGCACAAAATACAAATATGAACCTGAACATTTGCATGATAGGGCCCCTTTAATCACCGTGATGCACGTGTTCCTTGAGTTTTCCTCTGATAAAACATGAAATATCAGAAAAAATGACTGACTACATTTAGTTATTTTTGTTTCAAAGACATCTTAGTTTAACACCAGAATAAAACACTCAGAGATCCCACGTGTACAGGTTTTGTTTTTAATGAGAAAATATTCATAATATGTATAGTAGGTGTATAAGTGTGAGCCTTACATGTCCTATAAAATAAGAAAGCAGAGTATGAGCGTACAAGTGGTTAACATAGGAACAGAGGTTATACTGTATAATACGATTGCTTTATCGCACACACACGCTGAAGCTTGGGCACTCCTGCAGGGGAACTACCGGCATTTTCAAAAGATAAATAAAACATCTCTGCACCATAAAGTCAAACAACAAAAGCATAATAATAAAAATAATAAATCACAGATAGAACTGCTCTGCGAGCGCATTGTGTGTAACCATTTCAAAAACGTTATTTAGTGAGAACTCGATTTAGGGTTTGATTCAACCTCTTCATGGGAAATGAGGTTGGTGTTGGTGTGTGTGTGTGTGTACATAACACAGTATGTGTTGCAGCAGCTACAGTAAGCTAGAGACAAAGCCTTTGTTTTTGTTGCTTAAAACTCAAATTGTGCTGTTAATAAAGCTAAGATATAGGAGACTGTCAAACATCACTATCAGTTTTCTGCCATTCAACCCTGAAAAGATCTGGGTTCAAGCATCTCTAAAATCTAATATTTTTTTTTTAAAAATGCGTCATAATACCATTTTATTTTTGCCTAAACCGGTTGCAAAACCTCATATCAGCATCACTGTACCTCCGTTGCAACTATTCACACATTTCCTGCTGCACCACAATGACACCTCCGCCATAAAAAAGGACACTGGTTCTCTTTAAATACTTTTTTTCACTATATATTATCACGTGTAGAAAAACAAGGGAGAGGTGGATTTTCTGGAACCAAGGTATGGTGATTGTTTCCGGGGGAAATGGACACATCACACACTTCTGCTTGGTGGTTACTGGCACTGTTTTCCCCATCATTACAATTAAATAGAGTCAGATCATTTGCACTTAGGATGGGACTGTCCCAATAAATATAACCGAAAGTCATTAATGGTCAGTTCATGGAATTTCTGTGCAAGTTTACCTCAGTTTTAATGATATAGATTTGTATTCAGTGTGTTTGTGGGCACACTGAAAGGTCTAGACAAAAGGACACTTGAAACAGGAAATGCCAGCAGATGATCGAAAAATGATCACCATCCTCCTGACATCCTAATGCTGGAAAATAATCTAAAAGGCTTCATTAAACTAGCGAACACAGACTGAAAAGTAGAATCCTATCAGTGAAAGTCGTTCGAAAATACATTTTCTTCAGCCATGTTGAAACACTTTTCATTTAAAGTCAGTCCTGTAAGCTGCAGGGATTGTTCTGATTGCTTTTAATTTGCTTAAACGTTTTGCCCCCTTACAATCCACAGTGTTGCCTCCCAAATAGAAGCCTGAAAATCTTCAGTCGTTTAACGAAACAGGACGTCCTGCGAAATTCTCTCAATATATATAGTATAAAAACTGACAGCCTCAACACACAAATATCCAACTTCTGTGGTATTAACATAGAAAACGAACGGACACTCCGTTGCAGCCTGTTGAACTGGTAGTTATTTTTGCCTGTTTGTGTGCTTGTTTCAGGTTGTAAAAGGAGTGTCATTTCATGCACACAATCAGTACTTCTTAAATAAATTGGAAACTACGCTGATGGTATGAACACTTTTTTATAAATCGCTTTTCCCTATACATTTCTATTATCAAACTTTATCCTCAGCTAGCAAGGGATAGTAGATACACGGCCCTGCTGGAATCTCTACATACATGTTCACAATACACAGTCCTACCTCAGTATAATACATCAAACAACTACTTACATCTGAAAGCACGGGTCCGCAAAGCGACGTAGCGAGTAAAGGTCAAATAAGCGATTTTTAGAATACAAAACCCCCGACCCAGCCCTTTAATCAACTGACTGAAGAGACGCAAACATGACCCGCAGTCCCTCTTTATGAAGTCAGTGAAGAGTAGTGTTTCCTTTCTATCCAACGCGGCTGTGTGTTTTACTCTTTTGAAACTGTTTTCATACAGAATAGGAGAAGATAACATACTCTGTACTAATCGTACATCCTACGATTACTCATGATCTAAGGCAAAGTTGAACCTTGATGCTAGTTTAGCAAATGTCCACCCTAGCATTTCCAAGGACAGCCAAGTCGGCACTTAAATTGAACACAGATGCTTCAAGTGATTGCAAAAGCTCCTACAAACATGTCATACGTGTCTCACATCTGTACTGTGGTGTACTGCGGCACTGCAGGATGCTCGATATCAAACTTTACTGAATGTGACGCACCAGGTCCCGTTGGGTTCATCAAATCCAGGTAGAAATCATTCTGAAATTACAGAAATATGGTCTTTCTTTTTCTTCGTTTTTTTTCCACACAGTGTGAAAATGGTTTGGGTTGTTATCAAGCATCCATTGCCAAGAAAACATCATCAGCAAGTCTCAGGCAACCAGTCAAAGTAAAATCTTCAGATCTCAGAACATCTTTCAATAAAAAAATTACAGGAAATTCCTATGAATATTGAAGTCATTCAACGTCTCCTAACTGTTAAAACCTTTGAATCGCTCTAAAACCATCTTAAAACCCTTTCAAAGTGTCTTTTACGTCACTGACCTTTTTCAAAATGGCCTCAACACCTTAAAAGTCTCTCACATTCTCAGTCTCTTAACATACGGTTGGCCTTCAATTCTTCTTTTCTTAGATGAGCCTCAATGGTCGAGCCAACGGGTCATGTGATCATAAGAATACTTTTAGTAAAATAAATACTTTTGCCCCTCTCCTTGCTGCGTTTTTTCTTCTTCTTGTCCTTCCCACTTGTTCTATAACTGTCTCTGGGAGGAGCTGCTTACTCTTCTGCTTACTCCTCTTCTTCTTCTTCCTCCTCCTCCTCCTCCTCTTCTTCTTCTTCTTCTCCTACTTCTCCATCCTCATTAGCGTAGATACCGGCCTCCCATTTCCGCGCCATGTCGCTTTTCCTCCTGGTGACGCGAGTGGCCTCCAGAACCTGTCAGTTAGAAAACAACAGTCAGAGAATCATATACGTAAGCACTGTCTACTAAAAAATGTTTTTAAGTGGCAACACCATCACAAAAGAAACACACCACAGTGGCTTTAACGTCGCATAAAGTGTGTCAAAAACTGATGGAGCGCTTGGTTAAACCATCCCGCAGTAAAGGAGTCATTAATAAACCACCAAATGAAGCGCACCTGCAGTATTTGACGGTAAAAACAAAAGTTATTTGACTCCATTTCAGGGGGAAATGTCATGCTTCAATATTGGATTTGATCCCCGATCACAATCTGTCTCACACACTCGTGCCAAGACACACACCACCACACACACAGTGACTAACACATGAGCACACCGTTCCACACAGGAGTGACTGTTTAGTGAGCAGGAATCCAGGGAGAAGGGGAAATGAGTGGAAAAGGATGGACACTAAATTATTATTAAAACACTGAGGCCTATTTAAGCTTTTACGTCAGTTTGTACTGTTTCTATGACCTCCAGTCCATAATGATCACAACATAGACATCAACCAAATATAACAACTCAAATGTACATATTATTTTAAGAATTGTATTATTCTTTGAATAAAGAATTGTATCCCGAAGACAAATTATGATATTTGTTACCTTTATCGATACATTTCACAGAAAATTACCATTATGTACGAATTATTCAACATTTGAACAATTATTTTGAAATAATACAAATCTTTTTTTCTTTTTTTTACCTTTACACTTAATAGCACAACTTGACCTTAACTACTGTACATATTTTAGTATTTTAATTTTTTTAACTGAGGCTCGTAGTATAATGTAAGTTGTATACAGAGGCTAAAAGCAGTGCATGGGGCAAGGGTTGGGGGGGGGGCGGGGGGGGGGGGTCAAGGTCAGCACCAATTCATGGAAAAGCACATGCAGCACCAACACCACAGAGCAGAACACTAATGCAGTGCGACCACAAGCAGACCTGGGATCAGATTTCAAACTTTTAAGGTTTTCTTCACAGTATCTTCTCGGTCCAGGGTTTCAAACTAAAATAATACATCCCCATCTTTGTTTTCAGGATCTGGCCGAATGAGTGACGTTACATTTATCATCTACAAACTTGTATACAGTAAGTTACATGGGGAATACGAAAGTGGCTCCCAGTGGAAATCTCCACTCTAGAAACTCGTCTGTATTTGAGAAAAGTTAACACAACGCTCATGGAAGGAGATAAGACACTTTTTTCTTCTTATATAACATTTTTGGGCCATATATTGCCTTTACTTGGAGATACAGAGTTAAAAGGGGGAGATAGAGGGGAGGACATGGCCTGAAACCTGGCAGCGGACACAGCGTATGGGCCGCCAGCTCTAACCACTGTTTAATTGTTACAGGAACAGTCCAAATATAAATGGGAATGTATTGCTTTTCCAATACTTTTGAATAGAGTCTGACCCAGGTCTGTGAGTTAAGGAGTGAACAGTGAGACAGGTACCTCAGTGGTTACCTCGTTGACCAGCAACAAACGGGCATACTGAGCGACCAGCAGGAGAGAAGCAACAGTACAAAGAGTCAACATGTGAAAAACAATACCTGCAACAGTGGGAAACAAAAAGCCTGCTGGATGTTCAAGATACATTCTGTTAGATATCTTGAAAAAGGCATGAGAAATAGGTGTGCTTTACGGTATATATGATTAGTTAGTTTAATGTGATGTTGCTCACAGGTGTATCTTTCCTTGTTTGGGAATAAATGAAGTGTATGGACCAACAGATGGAGAAGTGAAACTGCTGCTTGAGACATTTTCTGGTTATGTAACTTTTTCTTTCCACCATCCAAGCCAGTAACCTTAGTTTGCACAGTGTGGTCTGCCAACATTGAATACTTCTTCTCAAGAGAGACCTTATTCCGGATAATGACACACCGCTGGACACCCTGGCATGTAAAGACACATTCAGATAGAAAGAATGAGAGACGAAATCCCCCGGCGTCTCGGACTTACTTTCAATTTCAATTCCTGCTACTGGCTTGGAAATTCCCTTCGGTGTTGTACAGCGTTAGCTAATGCCAACAGGGCATGTGTGAAAGCATTTAGGTATGGTGACATTTAAGTATCTAATGCCATTGAAACACAAACTTTCACTCAACTTTCTGCTACTGTCCCTCCCTGAGATACACGATGGCATTGTTATCCCGTGTTATTCTGTTGTTAGATGTTCAACGAGAACTCCTACAGGTTTATTCAGTTAGATACTCACGCTGTTGTCATCGATTTTCTCCCTCCTCTTCACTTTGTGTGTTTCGTAGTCTTCCATTAGCGTCTGCATGTAGTTTTTGGGTCGTCCTCCGGAGTCCTCGCTGCCGGCGTCAGACAGCGCTCCCTCTGAGGGCGAGGGGGAGACGGGGGGAGCAGGGCGAACCTTCTCGATCTTTCCTGGAGAAAAAAAAACATGGAGTTAGACAGGTTTGTTAAAACAAACACCATCACACAAGGCATGAGTGATCTAAGTAAGCAAATACATTTAGAAAATAAATGTTTTGTAGTTTCAGTGCACCATTTATGTGTAGCGATGCAGTCAGGGCTGCATAGAAACATTTATATTTTTATAAAAGAAAATAAAAAAGGTTGGGCCAGATTAGCCTTTATTGGAGTTGACAGAGTTGAAAGGGGAATGACATGCGTACATGGTTCCAGGCGGGATTCAAACCTGGGTACTCTGCTTGGGAACTGAGTCCCCATACATGGACCACATGATTTATCTGATTTGTTTTATCAATAAATTACTCATTCAACATCTTCAAGTATATTTTTTTGTTGGATTTAAAGTACAAAATCGCCCAAAATATTATCTTAATGAGAAACGACAGTTACAACAGCTAATCCATTGATTTCAGAAGTTTTGATCAGATAATATTTTGTATTTCTAAACAATATTTTCTTCATAAATGACTAAAACAAAGTATTGATAATTGAAACAGCTACCAATTGCTTTTTCTGATAGTGACTCACCTGGAGCCGTCCTCGCTGTCAGAGTGAGTCGAGCTGGCAGGCTGTTGCTCTTCATCTTGTCTGCTGGGGAGATATTGGTTTGCCGCACCCTCACGGAACCCTGATTGTTGCTGGGAGCGTTGCCAGGCGTGTTGCCGGGGCGGACCCTGGCGGCGGGCTGCTCCACCCTCTGCTTCTTCAGCTCCTCCTCCCTCTGCTGAGCGGCTCGGATCTCCTCCTCAATCATGGACAGAGTCCTCTGCTTCTTAGAGCGCAGGCGGAACGGCCCACTGGACGCCTCCACCTCGGGGCCTTTCGCTGCGGCCGCTGTGCTCCGCAGCTCGGCCGCCTCCGAGTACTTGCTGAAGTAGCTGAACTCCGGTTTCTCCGGGCTCGGGGGAGAAGGGGGACGGTAGACTGGGGTCGGCCGGGACACTGGAGCAGCTGTGGCTGTGGAGGCAGGAGCTGGAGCCGGGGCTGAGGAGGCGAGGGCTCTGGCATAAGAGGATTGGATTTTGATCCTTGGGCCTCCATGTTTGGCTCTCTGTGGGGGGGAGACGGGCTGAGAGGGAGGGGGAGAAGGCGTCTGGAGCTGCTGCAGAGCGTGTTCTGACTCTAAAGGCTTCTCAAACCCTACTTCTGGACGTCTGTCTGGCAGAGGAGACAGGTTGGATGGAGCAGGACTGGAGGACATGGGTGACTGGAGACTAGGAGCTCCACCAGAGGATGCAGGGGAGGAAGACACTGGCACGGGGCTTCCTGTCGAGGCTGAGGATGGAGACACCGGGGCGCTGAGCTGTGAAGAATTCAAGTCGGAGGGCAGCCAATCATCTCCGTCCTGAGCTGACAGGGCGCTCTGGATGGCGTTTTGGACGAGGACTCCTGCCTGGTACTCCAGCTCGAATTCTGATGGGCTGCCATTGGCCTGCCCGTTCACAGGCGTGGTGGGCTGGGGCGTCGGCGGGGACACCGGGGTGAGGGGCTGAGGGGTCGGCGGTAGCGAAGCCCCGCTGTCGGAAACATTATCCGAGCTAAACACGGTGGTGTCCTGAGAGCGGAGAGACAACTCGTCTAACCCCGAGTCAGACTCCTCGGGGTGGAAACCCGGGTGGAAAGGGCTCTTCCCCTCCTCGTCGTCAGGCAGGATGGTCATCACCGCTCGTGCACAAGTGAACTCTGCTCCGTATCCTTCATCAGACCAGGTCACATGACTATCCCCGGCGTCTCCAATACTGTCACTGAACCCCTGGCTGCTCCTGGGTGTGGATTTGGAAAAGGGTTTGGCAGAGTACATGTAAGGAGCCACGTCCCTCTTGGTAGCGTCTCCTTGCAGAAACTGCTTCCTGGCAGAGGAGAAGTTGATCTGCTCCTGCACAATGTCCTCCTTCCTGTTCAGATCTGGGTCAAAGGTCACCATTGTAGGAGGTCCTGAAACCTGGGGCTGCAAATCGAGATGGGGGGACAGTGAAGAGAGGAGAATAAGGTGAGACAAAACATACCGGTAATTAATCATCAGCTAATAATGTGTGTGTATGTGTGTTACCTGTGTGTGTGTGTGTGTGTGTGTGTGTGTGTGTGTGTGTGTGTGTTACCTGTGTGTGTGTGTAAGTGGGACTCTGTTTATGCTGTTTCCTCTCCTGGTATTTCTTGAGAGACTCGAGCTGCTCTGCGTCCAGCTGATTTTCCAAAGGAATCTGTAATAAATGAATGATCGAAACAAAAAAACAATCAGTCAGTTTGTCTTAAAGTGAAGGGGGGTCAAATCAAATCTAAAAAGATGAAATGGGGGGCTACCTCCTGGGGGGGGTTCCACCAGCGCTTGGCGATGCCGGGGTTTTTCTTCACTGCCTGGTCTTTGATCAGCTCTTGACGCTCTCGCTCCAGCTCCTCCACCTGAGGAAGGAAGACAGCGATAATATTCATAAAGAGCTTTCTTTAAATTTCAATTTCTGAAAGCATTAACTTTGAACGACGTTAGCTGATAAAGATATGAGAAAGGTTGGTGATGCAAGTACTAAGTGTTTGTTATTGCATTACCAAAAGTGTATTTAGCAGGTTGTTTTAAAAAGAGAATTATGAAAAGTGGGTGATTTGGATGAACATTTTGAATCTTTCAGTTGTTGGTTTAAAAACTGTCTCTGCTGGTCATCACAGTCTCTGATTCAAATGTGAACCACAACTAACCTTTTGACACTGCTAGCGTCATGCGCTTGTCTTAACTTACGACATCCTTTCCATTTCAAAACTATGGTGTAAGGTCTTCTTTCTATGGTTTGATCTAGGTGGGTTTGTACAGTATAAGCTGTGGTTTTGGTCAGATCTTATAACACCTAAAACAAATCTATAATAATACTACTTTATTTTTACCTCAACACTATTTTTAGAATGTTTTAGACCTGTGTTTTTCTTTCAACCTACTTAGAGAAAAAGCCTTTTTTGTCAACTTTCAGTCAGGAATAAACTTTCATTCACGACTCAGTTTAGAAGAGGATCAAGAGTATTAATACTTTCAATAATTGTTTTGAGTAGAAGTCATTTATTTTGACACCTGTCATACATTTGGCATGCATTTTATAATGTCTCATAACAAAGCAAGCAGTTTAGACTTGTTGACAAAAAAAGCCTGACTTTAAAAGTACTAATCCTTATTTATTCTTGTGTACATATTGTTTATATGAGCCCTTATTATTATTATTATTATTAGACACAAGGTCTCCATTAACGTTTACATTACTGCTGTGTAGTTTTTGCTCCTGTGTCTGTCTGTTGTATCTGTTCCAGCTGATACCTAATCTCTCAGCAGTTTACCTCCCCTGAGGGTCGTCTCCTCGCCACCCTGACCTGCTGCTCCTCTCCGGGGGTAAAGAGCTTCGCGGGTCTCTTCTCTTCCTGAAACGCTCTCAGCTCAAACTTGGCCCCACCGCTCCCCGTCTCCCCCCCCTGCACGTGGCCGTTGGTCCTCACAGCAGAGTCCTCGTGGTGCAGGAACGTGGTTTCTCTCTGACCCTCCACCACCACTGCATGGTGATTGACGGGGGAGGAGGCTGACATGCGGACGGAGGGAGAGTTTCCATCGATGCTGATGATCTTGCTGTGTTCTGACGGAGAAGAAGTTCCGTTGGTGGGGCTTTCGGAGGCGGCGTCTAAAACCTGGTCCAAGTAACGGATCTCCTGTAGACGAAGGAGATTGCTATGGTTGTTCTGTAATGTTCTGGAACTCCTCGTACAATTATCATAATGGTGAACAATGCAGATGAGACAATGAGCCATGTAACCATACAGCATATCATGATTTTACTAGAGTAGATGATAATAAACATACAATTAGTGGACATTGGAGTAATTGCATCTTTATAACGGCAGGAAATGGAGAACATAAAGTTTTACTGGCACAAAAGCACACAAGAGAAGCAGCTTTTTCCACAGGTATTTTTTCTGTCATCTAAATATGTTCATCTTATTTTAATTATCAGGGAGAGCAATTTTGGCATCGTCCATGAAACTCTGACAAAGGCATATCTGATCTGGAGTTATGGTCTAGATTTTTGGGACAGGCCACATAAAAACAAAATTAAAATTAAACGCGGTTAAGTTTCAGATTTATGCTTAAGGTATTTGCTAAATTATATGTACAGCATAGTTAGATTTTGACGACAAAATCCTCTAATGAAATACCACCCAGACCAAGATAGACCGGCACAGGTAATACATTTTAAAGATGGTGAATAAAAATCAAGAAAACAAAAAACTGAGAGTTTGACCTCAGAGAATGAGCATACCTGCATCACCTCGCTGTCAGGAACTGCATTATGGGCTTTGTTGCTGGGGCTGCTGAGGCAGCCATGTTGGATCTGCTGGCTCTCCAGCTCCATGGCTGCAGGGCTGTCAGTGATGACGCTGACCGATTCCTGGAAACTCACGCTCTTCAGGGCTCGCTCTCTAGGTGTTGTGTCACTGACATCCTCGGCTGCCCGCCACGATTTCTGTGTAAACAAAACAAGCAACAAACACGAGCATCAGAGATACTGATCACTTTCATTTAGTGCTTGAAAAAAGCATTTAAAGAGAACCTGTACTTTTTCTCAGGAAGATATCTCTAAAAAACGCACACACCTCAAACAGACACATGTCACGCACATGAGGCTGTCTGTCTGCATTGCAGTAGAACTGTGTTATGTTAGACCAGGCTCCCACCACTTGGGGGCACCATCACTCCCAGTCTGCTGCTTTATGACAGAAAAGAACCATACAATCTTCCATGGTGCTGAAGAATATTGTATTCTCTTTCAAAGACCTTCACTGGTCTGTGAATGAATCAATGTACTGGAAACTTGGCCAAAAAATCTAACGCTGTAACTCTTCCTGCCTCACATTTGATCTAAAACTTTATTGAACAAACTGGCAGGTGGGATGGCAGTTAATCATTTTTACAGTTTTTGGAGGAACAGAACAGTTAGGGATGTTCGTCGATATTTTATTGCAGATAAGGGAAGAAACTATGCGTTTCTCTTAACAGTATGTGTCAGAATTATTTCTTTATTTTAGGATCTGAGTCAGATGCCACTTGAAACTTTATCATATTACTAGTTCTGCATTTAAGTCTGAAGTTTCCATGGCAGAGGAGTTGGCAGCTACTCCATGCTCAGCAGCGTTAAAGATACTTTAATCAAACGAGGGCTTAACATTTGCTCTCCTCACATATTCACTCCCTGTATTTTCCCGACCTCAGCCAGGTGCACGGCTCAAGGCCACATTATTAGTAGTTGTTATAAGAGGAAGAAATATATCTTCCAGTATTCAAATTTCCCTCGTGAGTTGGTCACACAGCCTGTATGAACAGATTGTGATATGCAGATACAAGACGAGGAAATAGGGTGTAGAAATGTAATAAAACTATCCCCACAAATGAAATGAAATATATTGCAAAACATTGCATATATGGACAAATGCACTTTATTTTATGAAAAGGGAAACTCTTCTCTGGGTGTGCAAAACAGTTAATGGTTACGTAATACATTTATTGAATCATCAGTGAACACAATGTCACACCCTTATAAATAAAAAATGCCCAGCTAATGCAACACTGTGATGTTATATTAATCATCAGCTTATTTCAGAATTCTTTTTTTAAACCAAGCTCTGATTCTATAAAACACATTTATAATGTTTTAAACTAAGCCACATTTATAACCTATACTTTACTGCCACATTAATGTACTTCTCAACTGTGCTTGCAATTTCACTGACAGTGTGATTTATCCAGGGAGGAGATGTACAAACGGGGGTCGAGGGTCTGGTTAAAAGGACACGTTGGTGGACACGTTGGCATGCCGGGGTTCAAACCTGCGACCTTCTGTTTTTGTGAACCATCCATCCAACACATTCCAGATCCACTGTTAGCAAGAAACACACTCCTGTGTATACTGACCGGCTTTCTGTTTCTACAGAGGCCACCAACAAATACTCTTTTGGCTTCCTGATTTACTGCCTTGCGCCGAGCACACCTCTGTTCGGAGGACGTGTTTACTTCCACCAGGGGTTGTTGACCCTCTTCTTTGTGACATGTGAGAGTGTGTGCGTTGGGATTTAATGAGGACCACTTCAGTGAATTGGCTCAGTGTTCAGCTGAAGCACACACAGCCATAAGGAGGAAGTCTTTACTTTGTAACCTCTCGTACACTGAAGGACTCGAACGCATTACCAGCCATTTGATGATATTCAGGGACTTTTCTACTGTTCTACATGATGTGTTATGCAGAAACGAGTTGCACATTTAGGACACAGTATCAACTTAAAGGGCTAGTTTAAAATCTTGATTGTTGTACAATCCTTTTCTACTGCTCCTGCTATTCTCTCCCTTTTTTCTTGGTCCTCATCCTCTCCTCCGTTGAAACCTCTCTCGATATTTGCGTCTTTTCCTTCCTCTCATTTCCTTTCTAGAATTGTTAAATGAAGAATCAGCGGTCTAGGAAGTCACATGGCCGACTGTATCCTCCCTCGCCTCCCCTTAGAAAGCATGTTCTTGTCTTTAGTGCTCCTTCACCCCAGTCCTCCCTTTCATCCTCGTGTCTCCTGTTTCTATTGATGAAGAAAAACATTCCCTGAGGGCATTTTGTTGACCCATCTGGCTCAGTCACATGCTTTAACTGTGTCATGAAGAGCATGATATATATACATCTGACTAAACGTATTCTCTTAAAGGAGTACTTCACACATTTCTATTTTAAATCTATTGATAGTACTCTAGGAGAATATTTACTAAAACACCTTAAAAGTTTTGATTAGAATAAAGTATAAAGGAAACAAACCTAGCCACAGAAATATGAAATAAATAGTAGAGTTGAATAAAGAACTGCAAAGCTAGCTGCTTTTTTTGGCTGCACTTTGGAAGTGTAAGCTAAATGCTAATATCGACATGCTAACATGCTCACAATGACAATGCTAAAGATGCTGCCAAGCAGGTGATGTTATCCAATGTTAATCACATGCTGTGTGTTAGCATGCTAACATTTGCTAGTTAGCACTTAACAAAAAGTAAAGCTGAGGCTAATGGGAAGCTTAAATGTAAAAGCAACAACCTAAAGGGCATTTAAGGAATGATGTAGAAAAACTAGCTAATTTCACTGCTAAGAGAGCATCAATAAAGTGTCTCATTTGAGAAATCATCGAACCAAAAGCTAGGCTATCAACGCTTAACTTCAGCGAAAGGGAATTCTTTCTTTAGCCAAATTATGAAGATAAATTACGCCATGGACACTGAACAACTCAAGACAACATGTTTAAACTATATTATTCTGGTCTCTAGTTAAAGAGAGAATACAATGATTTTTATTTACTTAATGATATTACCGACCATGTGAGAACCAAATCTCACTTCCATGTACACTCTCACTGACAAAGTATTTTGTCTTGTTACCTTTGACCCATTGTGTGTACTGGATGTGTATGTGCGTGCATGTGCAGGAATGTATGTGTGTGTGTGTGTGTGTGTGTGTGTGTGTGTGTGTGTGTGAGACACAAAGTGTGTGTCGAGCAGGCGGGAGGATATCCTGTTACTGCCTCAGGAAAACAGTACTATAGTACTGGAATGTCNTGACCCATTGTGTGTACTGGATGTGTATGTGCGTGCATGTGCAGGAATGTATGTGTGTGTGTGTGTGTGTGTGTGTGTGTGTGTGTGTGTGTGTGTGTGTGTGTGTGTGTGTGTGTGTGTGTGAGACACAAAGTGTGTGTCGAGCAGGCGGGAGGATATCCTGTTACTGCCTCAGGAAAACAGTACTATAGTACTGGAATGTCTCATATGAAATTGTATTCTCCTACACACACACAATGAAAGGAGTGTGTGTAGGTATATGCAGGAATCCTGATGTCAAATGTAAGACCTTTTAAGACCTTTTTTAAGACCCTTTCCATTCATTTTAAGACCTCATCGCCACTTTGAGTTTTAACCGGTTACATTGGCGACACACTTTAGCTCACATTTACTATATACAGTATTGATTGTCCTTCCTCCTTATCTTCCAACCATTTGGACGCAAACTTGCATTTCCCCATAACGATGTTGTTTAACAACCGGCGTAAACGGGCCTTCGCGAGCTATCAAGCAGTGAGCGTGCGATGCCCTGTTCAGATGACGTTAAATCCAACGGGATGCCATAAATAAACTACACAGAATCACACTACACACCTACGCAATGATTACATTCAGGCAGACTGTAGAATAAAACCTCTTTGGACAATTTATATACTTATTGAAAACAAGCTACAAAATGTAATACCTTGGAAAATGCCGTTTAATACTTTTTAATACCTTTTAATAGCCTACATTTTCGCTAAATTAACATATCAACTTGTAATACTTTTTAAGACCCCGCGGACACCCTGGACTGTAGTTGTGCAGCAGTGTGGTCTTTAAAGTGTCTGTATCGGAGGTGTGTATTCATGTGTGTGTTTCTGACTCTCATTGAGGTGAGCTGACATTCCAGGCATAACTAGCTGTCCTCAAAGCTCGGACTCTGAGACTTGTGATGAGGGAGCCTGCCTGGCGGAGCAAAGAGAGTGAGTGTATGTGTGTGTGTGTTCAACAGTGCAATCTTTGAGTGTGTTTAACTACAGAAATAAATCATGTAACTGTACTAAAAAGCTAAAATTATTCCTGGTTTGTTTGAACGTCTGAAACCATAAGAACGTTTTATTACTCTTGGATCAGCAGTCAGGTTTCCATTAGTCTTTAAACAACCATTAATGTTCTGCAACAGTTACACAGATGTGAAATATAGTGTTAACAGTCCCACACCCTCACAACCATGATGTTTGTGTTTGGACTTTTTCCAAAAAAGGATATAGAGCAAAAGAAAGTCCTACATTTTTGCCAAATTCAAGGATCTAATGTAGGCTGAGGTTTTGGCTTTATAGATTTGAATTAGTTTCAAGTATGTTAAAATTCGTATTACAGAGCGACTCTAGGGTTCAGCGCAGGATGATTAGATCACAGTTTAGATTAAGTCATGATTTCAGGGCTTAGGTTTGGTCTTAAAGCTTGAGATAAGGTTGCTAAGACATATTTACCCAGGAGTAACCGGGAGTGTTAGGGTTAATATTATAAGAGGTGGAAATCCTGAATTCACCGGAAAGTATAGTAATACAATCGTGAGTCAGCTAACTATCACTGTCTTATGCTCTGTCTAAACGCTGTCTCATTCTCCCCCTGTCGCCATCACATCTGGAAACACTTAGGCTCTGACTGTGACACACACACACACACACACACACACACACACACACACACACACACACACACACACACACACACACACACACACACACACACAGCTGCAGGGGGGTTACCAGAAAATGAATACTCCCTGACGAGAAGTAAACACACATCCTTGACGTATCACAGAAACACTTTAACTATGCCTTTGATATCACGTCATCATCTTTTATTAACACACGCTGTACCTAGCCCAGAGCACATGGCAAA